TTTAAAAACACTATTTTAATAACTGGTTGCAACAACTCCACTAAAAAGTTACCTTTAAGGCACACAGACCCGCTACAGATGAGGCTTGAGACAATCTCACAATGTAACAATTTTTATTTATTCCACAATTGTTTGTTAATCAAAAATACTAGTCTAAAACCACTCGCATTAAAAGTCAGTGCTAGCTCAACTCGGGGATGGGAGTGCAATTCGGGGTAGTGTCCTAAAAGAAAAGAAACACAGCAAACGAAACAAGGCAAAAACAAAAGAAAATCGTGCACCAAACCAAAGGAGTACCACCACCCGGAAAGTCCACCACCAACACCACGAGCTGGCCGTTCCTGTCAAAAAAATAAAATAAAGAAGAGAGACATTCAAATTACAGACAATACAATTATGCAGGTCAGCCCACAATCAATCAAGCAGCAATAGTCCAAATTAAGAGTCCGTCTGGGGAGAAACCGATCCGCTGTAGCAGACGCCACTCAGAGCGGCAGTAGAAAGATAGTCCGAGCTGATCACCAATCAGCCCAAATCAGCCACACTGGACGAGTGGTAGGAGCCAGCTTTACGCCGACCAGGACGGCGAGCATGAAGCCAGCAAACAGGACGACAGGTAGGCAGTCGACAGATTATCCAGCTGACAGGCGGACCGCCAGTCGGGGACAACCAGAACAGCGGGCAAACAGCCAGCCAAGGACAAACAGCAGCGGCTATCAAAAATAAATGTTAGAAATGGAATCTAAAAGCATCCAAAACTCCAGCACTTCACTTACCACTGAGCTCTTTATGTAGTGCCTCTAACAGGAAGGAGGAAACATGGAGCTTGTACAGGCGGCCTGGATATACAACAAAAAGCTGAGCTAAAGCTAAGCTAACAAATGTCAGGTGTGGGAAGATTCTTACCAGAAGGACGATTGATCGGCGGCGATCAGAGCGTCGTTAAGCGCATTGTTTGCGTGCATGCATTCATTTGCGGCTGTTATACAGAAAATGTAAATAAATCACAAGTAATAAGCTTGCTTGAGAGAGGTGAAGCCTGCCTTACTTAGCGTGCAGCACCAACAAACGCCAAGGTCTGAACCGGAAGGAAAACAACGTCATGTCAACCAGGTGAGGAAGGACCCTTTATATACAGGCAACCAGCACCACAACCAATTAAATTCAGGCACTTGTGTAGTGCGTTCAAAGGCCACAGGGCATACTGCCACATTCCACCCCCCCAAACTGCATCGGCGCCCCGACGATGATCCCACTTAACACCAAGGTCGAAATACAGCAGACATGGTACTAGATGAAGGCGTTTCTCTTACTGCTGGTCTTGGAAGATGATGGAGATTATGATGCTGGCCAGCAGTTGATCGTGCCGATTTACGCAGACACCTCGCTGGGCCCAGACTCTGCTGCCGGTACAACTGCTAATGAGGTAGGTTGATTCACGGTCACACCAGAGGGAGCCACAGCAGCAGGAGAAGGAGCCACAGCAGGTCCTGAAACCCTAGGAACAGCATCTGAAGCCACAGCAGGAGGTGAGGCAGGCAGTACCTGCTCCTGAGGCCATGGCCTCAAGAACAAATCACCCTCCAAAGACAGCTCGCCCTCTGAAATGGAGTGATGTTCAGAAGGTGCACCTTCAACAGGAACTGAATTAGGTGCATCAGCAATCAGGACCTTCAGCAAAGAGCGATGTACCCTCCTTACCCTGGTCTGGTCATGAACTGGTGCCACTGAATACACTACACATATAACCACATGTGTCACTGAACTCCACAAATCCTGAGTTTTCTGACGACCTTTACTCCCCAAATTTCGGATCAACACAAACTGGCCCTCCTTAAGAGGAGCTTCTCTGATGTTTTTATCATGATTAGCTTTTCTGCGTCCTGCAGAAGTCCTCAGTTTTTCTCTAGCACCCTCAAATGCTATATGCAAGCGAGTCTGATGTTCTTTGACCCACTCATGAACAGTTCCTGCAACTGGGTTTTGAACTCTTCCCAACAAAAAGTCAACTGGAAGACGTGGTTCTTGACCGAATATTAGAAAAAATGGTGACTCACCAGTTGATTGATGAGGGGTGGTGTTATTTGCATAAAGCAACTGGGGCAAACAGACACTCCAGTCTCGTTTCCGGGACGTGGGCAAAGTTCTCAACAAGTTGTGAAGCGTTCTATTAAAACGTTCGCATTGCCCGTTACCAGCTGGATGGTAAGGTGTGGTACGAGATTTAATGATGCCATACAGACTACAAAGCTGCTGGATCAGAGTGCTTTCAAAGTTGCGGCCCTGGTCTGAATGGATGCGTGCTGGTACTCCAAATTTTGCAAACCATTCAGTGACCAGGACCTGTGCTACAGTGGAGGCGCGCTGATCCCTGGTTGGGACTGCCAATGTATATTTGGAAAACACATCAGTCATCACCAATACATTTTCTAGCCCAGATGGAGTTGGCTCTAACAAAGTAAAATCAATTGCCAAAATTTCATTTGGTTTTGACGCAAGCAAATGGCCCATGAAGCCACGAGCAGGTGGCTGGTTATCCTTAGCAACCTGGCACCGCTCGCAGGTTTTACACCAATCTGCAACCTCTTGTGACATACCTGGCCAATAGCAGCGAGACCGTAGCAACGCCAAGGTCCTTTCCACCCCCTGGTGCCCATGCTCCTGATGGACCTGAGTCATGATGTCCTTGGTCAGGGACTTCGGCAGGAGAAGTTGGTGCACTTCCCCACCACCATCTGGGCGAAACACTCGCCGATACATTAGACCATCCAACTCAGCCAGGCGATCCCACTGGTTGAGCAATGCAAGAGCAGATTGTGAAAGCCTTTGCCGCATAAACAAGGACTGGAGCAGATGTAAGCTTGGTTTTAATAGCCTCAAAACTCTGTTGACATTCCTCAGTCCAGGCTCCGACAATACTCTGGGCAGCCTTCTTTTTAGACTCTTTACTAGTAAACTCTGCTGCTCTACGATGCAAAGGGGCAGCCATCTTAGCAAACCCTTCTACAAACCTATGGTAGTAGCTAGCGAATCCCAAAAAGGAACGCAACTCAGTGGCCATGATGGGCACAGGCCAATTTGCTACCACCTCAATTGTAGCGGGGTCAGTGGCTACTCTCTGGTCAGAAATTACATGACCCAGGTAGTTCACCTTCTGCTGGAAAAAGCGGCACTTACTGAGCTTAGCTTTAAGGCCCTCTTTGTGAAGCCGTCCTAACACCACGTCCAACCTCTGAAGATGTTGCTGCACAGAGGATGAAAACACAACAATGTCATCTAAATACAGCAAGAGGGATTGGCATTGCTGGTCACCAAAAATGCGCAGCATCAAGCGTTGGAATGTGCTCGGAGCATTGCATAGGCCGAAAGGCATGCGATTCCACGCAAAAAGCTCAAACGGTGTACAAAAAGCGGTTTTATGGCGATCGCTTGCTGTGACCGGAACCTGATTATACCCACTGGCCAAGTCCATAGTGGAAAACCACCGGGCCCCTGTCAAAGCATCAAGGGACTCCTCGATACAAGGGAGTGGAAAAGCGTCCTTCCGTGTCTTGATGTTTAAGTTGACGATTATCAACACAGAGCCTAATACTACCATCCTTTTTGCGAACAATCACAATTGGTGACGCATAGGGGCTGGAGCTTTCCCTGATGACATTTGCTGCCAAAAGCTGATTTATGTGCTCCTTCACAAGTTCATACTCCGGTGGAGGAATTTGACGGTATCGCTGCCGAACAGGAGCGTCATCAAGAAGGGGAATGTCATGGCTAATCAGGTTGGTGCAACCCAAGTCCTGATCATTAGTGGCAAACACATAAGTGTATTTACCCAACAGGGCTCACACCCGACCCTGTTCCTCCTCTGACAAAGATGATAAATCAATAGTCTTGATCCCATCTGAGGCAGGAGCAGCAGCTGTTTGGGAAGACACATTTACAAAGAATGGGACTTCAGTTACGCCTGCTGGGAGACTCACCACACCAACACTATTTAAAGTTCCCACAGTGCTACGAGGATAAAGCAATACATCCGTGTTGCCCACATTTACCACTGGGACATAAGCAGTCCCCCGAACAACCTGAACTAAAGCACGAGATGCTAACAAACCAGCTGGTAAGCCAGACTCTGACGGTTCAAACAAGACAGTGGTGCCTGAGTATTGCTCACAGCAGGTGGTAGGCACAATCTTCATTACACCTCCTGGAATGCGGCAGGCCTTCCTGCCTCACACCCTAACCTTACTAGGCTGCTTAGGAGTGTGCTGCATTTCAGCTGCATGACATTTCTGTAAGGCATTAACCAAGAGTTTTAGAAATGACACAACAGGGGTTGTATTAAACAGAGCATTGCCATGCTGTCCAAATAGTTCTTGGTAACACTTATTTATGACGTTCATCCCCAACACACCAGGAACTGAAGCTGAACCGCTATCTGGGGGATTTCTCACCACCAACACTCCACAGTGGGGCATCAACTTGCCACACAGTTCAATAGATACTTCCAAATAACCAATATAAGGAATAGGGAGACCATTGGCTGATTTTAGCTGTAGCCAGTGGCAAGCTCTCAAACGCTCTTCGCCCCAGGGCTCAAAGAATTCAATAAAGAAGCTCTCTGTAATAGTGGACACCATTGAACCAGTGTCAACCAAGCAAGGCACTTTCACTCCAGCCATGTTCACTTCAAAATGTGGACAAGAAGCAATTAATTTAGGTACATCTGCTGAACATAAACCACTAGTTGAGCCTATGGATGCCCCACCTGAGCCTTGGCTCTGCAACTCGGTGGGTGCTAGTTTCCCAGAGGCTGACTTCCCTGATGTGACTCTGAGAAAGATGGCTGACGGAAGGAAACATGTGGCCCCCCACACTCCCTAGCAATATGCCCGGGCTGTTGGCACCGTCGACATATAATAGGACCTCGACGTGGAGAGCGGCTGCGCCCTTGTGCAGTTTGGAGGACGGTAATGCTGTGAGTAAGCCGATTAAGCTGCTCCTGTTGCTGTTTTAAGAGCTCTTTTAACTCATTAACCTCTGTTTGAGTGGGGCTAGCAGTAGCTGGTGACCCGCCATGCACAGCAAACTGAAAACTGGGCGTTAAAGGCAGAGAATTACTCCAGCCCCTCATACTAGCTGGCAAACCCTCTAATTCCCACCTCATTGCCTCACCTCTGACATCAAGCAGTGTTGCTGCCGGTTTCAGACGAACGTACTGTTTTAGCGCACGACGAAGCGCACCATCAATGACATATTCTATGAACTGGTCACGCAGGAGAACTTCAGCGTTTGGCATGTCCCTAGGGGCCTGTGCTTTTACTTTCTCCATGAGGCTCATCAAAGCAAGGGAGAACTCTTGTAATGTTTCCCCATCTAATTGCTTCCTGGAGAAAAAGGCCTCCTGTAATGCAACATGTGACTCATTACATCCATAAAGCTCCTTGAGGATAGAAATGATTTTAGCCGGATCCCCTCGTTCCTGACTAGAGCGATATTTGATCTCATCCCTAGCCTCTCCTTCTAAATGGTCATACAAAAAGAAGGCCTGATCTACTGCTGACAAATTTCGTGCCTGCATACACGCCTGCACCTCCTCAACCCACTCGCTCACACTAATCCCCATCCGTCCCCTAAACATAGGACACTTACGATCNCAGGCGGTACCTGCTCCTGAGGCCATGGCCTCAAGAACAAATAACCCTCCAAAGACAGCTCGCCCTCTGAAATGGAGTGATGTTCAGAAGGTGCACCTTCAACAGGAACTGAATTAGGTGCATCAGCACCAATCGGGACCTTCAGCAAAGAGCGATGTACCCTCCTTACCCTGGTCTGGTCATGAACTGGTGCCACTGAATACACTACACCACCCTCTCTTGGGACTTTAATAACCACATGCGTCACTGAACTCCACAAATCCTGAGTTTTCTGACGACCTTTACTCCCCAAATTTCGGATCAACACAAACTGGCC